AGGACAGTGGTCTCGGGGAACCGCAGGGCAAAGGGAAGTTGCGTCGGTCTCAGGAACAGCAGAAACTTCTGGCTCACCGCTCCTCCTGCAGGAGCGGTCAGACCTGCCGGACGCCCTCGGCCAACACGCCAGACGAGGAGGAGTCTCTGTGGCGCTGTGAGAAATCTGTAAGTAGCTGGGGGGCTAGTATACTAATACTCCGAAATCCAGGGGGAGAGGAAGGGTTTATGCTTTGAAACCCATGAGGATCCACTGATCGCAAACGGAATTCACTCTTCCCGCTCTGCACTCTGGAGTCCCGCTAGAAGCCGCAAAGGGACTAGTAGTGTACATTTTCGGCAAATCCAAGTAAGACTAGAATGTAAATTTTTCGATATCTAGTCATCATCAGCCAGTCACATGCAACCGAGGCTCGAACCCGTGACCTGTTGGTCAAAAATCCAACGCTCTAACCAATGTTCATCTGTGTGGCTGCTGGCGGGGCTTGAGGGTGAGTCCCAAGACAGAACGGGATGAGTGTGTCCCTTTAGCGATATGTGAACCTTTATCAAGGAATAATGATATTTCCCATCTAAAAGGGGCAAGACAACGATCCCACGACTCATTGGTTAGAAGATTGGACTTTAAAGCAAGAGTATTTAATTGTATACTGGTCAGTCTTTCAGGATATATCCATCCTGGTTGATGTCTCACGAACTTGGGCCAACCGAGTGTGTATTTGCAAGACTGCTAATTGTAATGTTACTAATTAACTTCCATTAACATATATTTACGTCAAAGTATCAGTATTCCGGCAAAGGCAGGCACCCTAACATAGCTATTTCTGGCTGTATTGGCCGTCGTCAGCTAGGAATAGGCAACTCTAGCTTGTGTTTTCTAGGCCCGGGTGATGTACCATCGGAGGTCGGGTATGACTGGCTACTGACGCTCAATTAGTCGGAAATGACCATTCCAGTCGCACCTGTCTTTGCAAGCAACGGTCGTTATTATAAGGGTGGCATCTGACGTGTGTCACCGCCGAAAAACGCCCGTTGGAATCACCAAGGAAGAAGAAAATAAGAAGGCTGTAAGTTTGGAATACACCCGGATGAGGGTTTATTGTGCACAAAACCCGGAGTTGCCTTCTCGGGTGGCAGTTTCCGCTGGCCGATCTCCAGCGCGCTGCTTCTCCCGTCCCGGGGCAAGCCCGGAAATCGGGAATGGACTGGTGGTGGCCTCGCAGTCCGTGTCTGAGAGGTGTCACTGGCTTATAAGTGATTGTCAAGCGTGTTCGCTTGTGGCATGATTGGGCGCGTTGGAATAAGGTCAAGCGACCAGTTGGCCCTTGAGGGACTGCGATCATTTGGGTATGTGCTTTGACGCCGCCTATCTTCATATTAATAAACACTTACTGTGGGCCCAAAACACTTCAAGTTCATGTAAATATTAGTGTTTTAATTTATAGTAGTTGTAGTTTACGATACAGTACATGCTGCAATTGTAGAGATGAGAATAAACCTGCAGAGGGCTGCACTATAATGTACACGCAGTATGATACCATACATACAAACTACTCCTACGTTGGATAGTTTTCTGATTGGTCGACAGACCCAATTATAGTATTGTTTGTACACCGATCTGTCTTTTAGGATGTGCCCATCCTGGGTTGCTGGCACATCCTGAGAGATAGATCGGTGTAAAAACCAATTCTATATACTCCAGATCAACAACCGGCAAGGCATCGAACTCGATGGCTCAATGGTTAGGACGTCTGCCCGTGGCCGGTAAGGCGCGAGTTCGAAACTCGGGTGTGGCGGCAAATTCAGCGGCTACACTAGAGTTGGCTGCACGTAGCTGATGAGGGCCAACAACCCGAAATAGCTATACTACGTTGCCATTGTATATGCCGGTATACTGAAAAGACACAATTATTTCAGCAGTTCCTTCCCATCTGGGGCTATTGGTGCATCAGCAGTCAGTCGGAT